AGAAGAACAATGTCATGGCCCGAACGAGGTAGAGGCCCTCCCTACCCCACCTGGACCCTGCCAGCCAGTAACTATCTTTGCTGGTCTTGAGCCTCCCCCTCTTCCCTCCCTCCTCAGGCCCAGCTCCTCTCTGAGAGGAGATGGCCTCAACAGGATCCAAGGTGGGGAGGGTGGGAAGGAAGGAAGTGGTAGGATGGGGCCCAACCTAGTCCCTTGCCAGGTTTGTATGCTCCACTTGCCAATCCAACTCCCAAAATTCTTCACCCAGGCTGGTCGTCCCCAATAAAGGCTACTCTTCGCTTGACCAGAGCCCAGATGAGAAGCCACTGGTAGCCCTTGACACAGACAGGTATGTATGGGGGCCTGGGGGTAGCAGGGCAGACCAAAGGAACCTGTGTTGCACAAGTGGGCCATACAGGCCATACCTGCTATAATGTCAGAATTGGAGTATTCTTCAGCCAGAATCTCTCCAAGGGTGAATTCTTCAGGGACTGGAATTTTTTTTACAGTGGCAGGGACCAGAGGCTTAAGGGAAGTGGTAGAGAGAGGAAAGGGGGGCCTGTGCTGTCTGCTTTCAGCCTGGGACAACTGATCCAATGGTTGTACCTAACTGGCCTGTGATGTGGTCCCTGGCTAGCAAAATGTGATGCTTAATGCCCCACCCCCTCAGGGAGGAGCCCTAGTCCTTGGAAAACATCTGACTAGACTTGGGCTTTGGGAAAACTCCGCAAGTCAGGGTGATTTGAGTCTAGAAAAAAAAAAAAGGTGAGAAGGAAGGGGGCAAAAGGAGCACCTGCTATATTTCAAAGGAGGTTAAGGATAGCAATTTATTTTCAAAGGTGGGACTAGGGAACTTGTCTTTAAAAATTCTGCATTTGCACAGCAGGCATGGCTTTTATTGAGATTGTACTTTTTCTTTGGAACTATGAAGGAGGTGTGGGATGCTGACTAATGGGGAGATGGGATTGCAGAGAGTTTTCTACTTAATTTCTTGGAATCACTTTCCCTCTCTTTCCTCCATGGCCAGCGATGATGACTTTGACATGTCTAGATACTCCTCCTCCGGCTACTCCTCTGCTGAGGTGAGCCCCTACCCCTTCCCGCCCTAGACATCACCAGACAGGATCACCGCTATCCAGGGGGAGGGCTGGAGTCAACACCCAAGTACACAGGAAAAGACGGCTGGGCAGGGCTGGGTGGTGCCCTGCACAGGTTGGGCCGAGGATAGGATGGAAAGAAGCTGTCACTGGCCTCAAGTGCAGGGAGCTCAGGGTTAAGAGTGGGGCTTTAGATTGGAGCAGGCTACTTAAATAGAACTATGTGAAACGCTGTGAAATACAGGTGATAGCCAGCCTGATAGGGGCAAAACCCGAATAGAAGCAGGACCAGAGGTATGAAGTTGACCTTAGAATGGGGAGGGGTGACTAGAAAGAGCATGAGTCCAGAGGCGGAGGGAGGTGCCTGGGCAGGCGCAGGGCCTAGGGGTATGGACAGCAGTGCTCGCCGTCTGGATTGGGGCACAGACCACCTGGAGTGGCCGCAGAGCCGTGGGTGGTGCCTCCCTGCCGCTCGGGCCTGACCTCCCTCCCCTTTGCCTACAGCAGATCAACCAAGATTTGAACATCCAGCTGCTGAAGGATGGCTACCGGTTAGATGAGATCCCCGACGATGAGGACCTAGACCTCATTCCCCCCAAGTCCGTGAACCCCACCTGCATGTGCTGCCAGGCCACGTCCTCCACCGCCTGCCACATTCAGTAGCAGGCGGGGCCGCTGCGGCCGCCGGGGCAGAGCCGCCAGGGGCCGGGTAGAACGGGCAGAGGCCGACCCCTCCCCAGCTCGTCTGCCTGTCCCCGGCCCCACGCCCCTGCAGCCACCAACCTCGTAACAGTCATTGCTTCCTCCTATGGTAGGACGTGTACCTCTGTGTGTTCATGGAGCCGGAGAAACCAAAATCGGGTCTCTCTCCACCCGAGGGCTGAGGAGGTGTGGGGCCATTTGTTCAGTTACCTGGGGGAACCTCACTCAGCACTCTGCCCCGCTTCCCAGGGCTAAGTCTGGTGGTGGAGAGAGAAGACTGGACGTCAGGGAGGTCAACATTAACGAGTGGGGGGATCACAAAACCAGGGGCTTGGCCCCACCCCAGCGAAGCCATGAACCCCCCAGCCCCGGCCTCAGCCTAACCAGGAAAGGGGCTCAGAGGGAGAAAGGCCCAGGGCAGTGGGGACAAATCCCAGCACCTCGGAGCCCCCTTCACACGCCCCCTGAGGGCCCATGTTTCTATTTGCATTTCCCCCTCCTCAGATGGGAAGCCTGGCAAAGCTGCCCTTGAGGGTGGTGCCCCTCACTCATTAGATCACTGCCTTCTTCCTCCTCTTGCCCCATTCACCAACTTCCTTGCTCCCTGGGAGTGGGGCAGGATAAGGTGGGCCTAGAGACAGGCTGAAGTTTGGATGGTGTGATCTGTCCTCATTGGCCCCTCACCAATGCATTGATCTCTCTGCCACCACCCTATCCCACGCCCACCCTCACCCACCCTTCTCCTCATTAGTCTCAATGCCAGGCTGGAAGCAGGGAGTAAGGCTGTCCTCCAATGGCCCATTCCCCTCACCCCAGCCCAAGATCTGGGAGGCTGCTTCCCAGTAAGAATCCAGGAGCAAGCTTTGGAGAATCCAGTGGGCTGAGTGGCTGTATGGATGTGGTTATTTGGATGTGGTAGGGAGTGCTTAGCAGAATGTGTGTATATCTCTGAGGCTGTCATGGGGTGTGTGTGTGTGTCTCTGTTGGACCTGCCTTTCCTCAGTCTATTCCTGTCATAGATGTGGGTGTCCCTGGTGGGGAAGTGCCTGTGTGGTCTGTTTACAGTGCAGAAGGCAGCTCAGCAGTGTAATGGGCTGAGAGCCCCGGGTGGGGAGTCAGAGCCTGGGTTCTCTGGTGGTGGCTCTGACCCCTCCCTGTGATCTTCGGCAAGCCACTTGCTTTCTCTGGGCTTCAATTTCCTCAGCCTGAAAATGAGCAACAGCTGAAATTATTTTTAAGATCTTTTTAAACCTGAAAGTGTTTCTTCATAGGAATTTCTGTGGTGGGGAGGGGGTAATCTCTGTGTGTCTCAGTATACCGAGAGGTTGGGGTGGAATGAGCTGTGTGTGTCTGTAGAAAGGGGAAGGGGCAGTTCCTATCAGGACTGTGTATGTCTGAGCACATGTGGCTCTGTTTGGGATTACATGTTTGTCTGTGAATGTATATGTGTGTTGGGGATGTCTATTGTGTGCGGCTGCATAGGGTATCTGTAGGTCAAGATGTGTATACAGCTGCTTCTGCTATTGCTGGTTTGGGGGAGGGGGCCAGAGGCTGAGGCTGAAAATCAAGAGGGAGGAGGTGAGGAAGGCCCTCCTCTGGGGCTGGGCAGTGTAGACCTGCCACCGTATGAAGAAAAATGAAAGTGCGGCTAGCCTAAGACTGCACAGGCCTGTGCCCCACAGACCTTATGGCACAGGTCCAGGTGGATCAGCTCATGCTATGCCCCATACATGTTGGTGAATCCACTCCCATGGATCCACTCACATGCTGCAGGCATGTAGTGGACTCACCCACAGCCCACTCTCTGGACACCAATCCTGGGAGGTAGGAGCTGGAATGAGGAGCAATGAGAGGAGGGAGTGAGGCTGTTGGCTTAGGAAGGGTGGCACCTCTCCCTGCATCATACCCAGGAACTGCCAACTCGAAACTATTGGGGTACAGCTCACCACCCCCCAATCCACCAACCCATCCCTACCTCCTCTAGTGCAGGGGCCCAAGTTAGATAATGAGAAAATGCCAAAGGGAGGCAAGGACGGAGAAGGTACCCGCAGGACCCACAAGGCCCATATTAGCCCCCATCTGAGCGCATCTCTCCCCGCTAGATCAACATCCCTCCAACCCCTGTGCCCCTATCATCTGGACCGCAGAACCAGGCCTCCCACTACCACCTCCACCAACCCAGAGCTCCTTGACTCACCTTTCTAGAACATGGGTACCACCTCTTTTCGGGGGCTCATTTAGACTGCTGCCTTTGCTGCTGACTTGCTGTGTGACTGGGGCCCATTGTTCAATCACTGTGGCCCTGAGACACCAGGGAAAATCTCCATCCCACAGGACATACTAGTTCCCTGGCAGGCAGGGGCTTCCAGCTGAGGCAGTGTATCTGTGGCAGAGAGAGACAGGAAGCTGGCCGTGGCAGCTTCTGTGTCTAGGGAGGGGGATGGCTCCCCACTTCCCTGTCTGGGAGGTTAGAGTGAAGAATCTAGGCCTTAGCTTGCCCTCCTGCCACCCTTCCCCTTGTAGATACTGCCTTAACACTCCCTCTACTCTCAGCTGTGGCTGCCACCCAGCCAGGTTTCTCCGTGCTCACTAATTTATTTCCAGGAAGGTGTGTGGAAGACATGAGCCGTGTATAATATTTTTTTTAACATTTTCATTGCAGTATTGACCATCATCCTTGGTTGTGTATCGTGTAACACAAATAATGATATTAAAAGCATCAAACAAGCCAGCCTCAGCTCCCTCCCTGGGGTATGGGCAAGGGGCAGGTGGGCTGGGAAGCAGAGAGAACCAGTCCTCTGGGTGCACATGTTACTCCACCTCCAACCGCAGTTTCCCAGCATGCCACTGACCTGTTGCATGACACTGGGTGAGTCACAACCCCTCAGAACCTTTGTTTCTCTTCAACAGTGAGAAGCCTGACCTAGAATATCTCCAGAGGCCCTCTGAACTCTTAGAAATTGGGCTCTTTTGATAGACCGGAGGCAGAAGGGGTCAGGAGCAGCGAGGGAATTATACCTCCTCACCTCCCTAGGGATGGGACCGAGCCAGGTGATATCACAATGGGCAGTGCCCATCCTGGAGGAGGCATCACTGTGGGGTGGGAGCAGGAAGACTGTTGGGGAAGGAAGCTGAGAGATCATCTGCAGGAGGGGATTGCAGCAGCTAGGGGCACCTGCCAGGCTGGAGGTGTGGGCTCTCTAGGGGAAGGGTGGTCACTGATGTCCAGCAGGAGCCCTTGACAGGTAGAGCCTACCAGAGCATCTCCAGGACCACACCATGTACCTGTTCTCCCGTAAGACCAAGACCCCCATCAGTACCTACAGTGACTCCTACAGGGCTCCCACCTCCATCAAGGAGGTCTATAAGGACCCACCTCTGTGGGCCTGGGAAGCCAACAAGTTTCTGACTCCGGTAAGTGGGAAATTGGCAGGGAGGGGCCTGCCAGAGTGTATGGCCAGTCTGGATGCCTGGCAATGGGTGTTTTTAATTATGTGTAGCTTGTATCTGAGTGTGTTTTATTCATTTACCTAGGCACAGAATTTACAATGGTTTGTAAAGTAGCACAAAATCCAGCCTTCATGGAATCACATCAGAGTAGGAGGTAGGAACAGACAGATAATGAACAAGAAATAAACAATAATTTTATAAATTCTTCAAAAACACTGTAAAGGAAATAGAATATTGGAAGTAGAAATGGAAAGGGAGGGCTACTTAGGTCACGGAAAACTCTCTAGCAAGGTGACAATAAACTGAGACTGGAAAGATGAGAGAGAACTAGCCACATGAAGAACTGAAAGAACAGAAGAGCTGAAAGTTCCAGACAAGTGATCAGAAAGTGCAAAGTCCCGGAGGCTGCTTGTGAAATCGGCCAGAAACTGTTCTATTGGCATGCCTTTATGTATATGCATCATAGTTTCCTTGTGTCTGTGCTTGAAGATTGGTGGCCAGGTGATGGAAATCTGTGAGTCTAACTGTGACTCTGCCTAAGGGAATCTATCTGTGTGTACCATGCAACAAAACATTGCTGAGTATCTTCATGTGTAGGCAACCCAGGATACAAAAGGGAAGGGGCAGACCTTGCCTTTGAGAAGCTCACAGCAAACAAGCAAAGTAGAGTTGCCCAATGTGGAACATGCAACAGCAGAGGTGGAGAGCCAGAAAGGGGAGAGCACGGCCCAACTTAAAGGGCAGATCTCCTGAGTGATCCAGGAGGAGGAAGCTTTCAGCAAAAGAGAGTCATGAGAAAAGGCAGCCTGTGGGCAAAACAAACTGCTGGCGCAGAAGAGTTTAGTCCTCGGATGAGAGAGGAGTCTGCAGACCAAGAAGGGCCTCTCTGGCTATGCTGAGGAGCATGGACATCCAGGCTTTTGACCTGGGAGGGAGAGTCATGGTTGAATTGTGAGTTAGGCCACTCTGGCCACAGTGTCAGGGAACTGCAGGGTCTGGGGCTGAGGACAGGAAGGCCAATGAGGGGTGAAAGATGAGGAAGGAGGATGTAGATGGGAGATAAAGAGATTGTCACAGTGAAAAAAAGGAATTTGTTGAACAGGAGAGAAATTTTTAAAATAATTTATTTTGTCTAACTACAAAATAAATACTTGCTCAATGTAGAAAATGTGGATAACCCAGAGAAGCACAAAGAAAAAAGATCTAAAATCCTACTACCTAAAATAACCACTGCTAATATATTATTATATGCCCTTTCTGGAAACAAATATTTATTATAAAAATAAAATTTATTACAAAGTGGTATATTTAAGGAATCTTATTGAAAATTTAGGTTCTTTATACAGTTTTGCTAGTATAATCATTCTTATACACGTGTCTTTGTACACATTTCCAATTATTCCCTTAGGATAAATTACTAGATGTGAAATTCTTGGGAGAAAGGATATACACATTATTAAAACTTTTGCTGTATGCCTCAAATTGCTGTAGTAAGTAAGGCTTGTAACAATTTACACTTCCACAAGCAAAATATGAGCGTGCCTGTTTTTCCATACTCAATAGGAAGAAATTTTAAAAAGTAGATCAATAGATCTTGGTCACCATCTGGATGGTGAAAGGAGAGATTAGGGTGACCTTTGAGTTTTTGGCTATGGCAACCGGAGGAATGCTAACACTATCAACTGAGGTTTGGAATAACAGATTTGAGATTTGGAGTTCATTTTAGGACAAAAATATTTGAGGATATCCAGGAAAAGATGTTTGGCAAGTAGTTAGATATACTTATCTGAAGCAAAGAAAAGAGGTCTGGGTTATAGATAGAGATTTTGAAGTCATCATCATATAAATGGTAGGTGAAGTCATAGGAAGAGATAAATTGCCAAAGAAGAGAGAGAAAATGGCCAAGGACATAACTTTGGAGAATATAAATATTTAAGGGTAGGTAAAGGAAGAAAAGCCATAAAAGAAGACAGAAAATTATTGCTTGAGAACTAGGAAAAAAATCAAAGATAAACCAATAAAGACAGCATTAGACAAAGATCAGTGTCAAGCGTTAGTGGCAGAGAAAGCGATCTCTTGGATATAGTAACTCTTGGTAACTTAACCAGACAGCTTCAATAAATGGTGAGGAGTGAAAGTCAGATAGCAGTGGGATTAAGAACGAAGGAAAGGCCAGGCACATTGGCTCATGCCTGTAATCCAAGCACCTTGGGAGGCTGAGGCAGACAGACAGATTGCTTGAGCCTACAAGTTCGAGACCAGCCTGGGCAACATGGTGAAATCCTGTCTCTACTAAAAATACAAAGATTAGCCAGGCACAGTGGCATGTGCTCATAGTCCCAGTTACTTAGTAGGCTGAGATGGGAGCATCACCTGAGCCCAGGAGGTTGAGGCTGCAGTAGCCATGATCACACTGCTTCACTCCAGCCTGGGTGACAGAGCAAGGCCCTGTCTCTTAAAAAAAAAAAAAAAAAAAAAAGGAAGGCTTCTACTTTTGGCAGTATGGTGGCCTAGAAACTCTGAAGGGCCCTCCTGCTTCAGAACAACTCAAGTTCTGAATAAAAATTAATTTTTATTTTGTACTGGACTCTCATGGAGATGACTGGTAAGTATAATTAAGAAGGCAGGGTTGTCCTGAGGACAAATGCCATTATTGACACTACAAACAGGCATTTAGGCCTTAAACTAACTGAAAGGTAGAGGAATTAAGTCTGTAAATTCCAAACTTAACCAGAAAGTTTCATGTCTCTGCCCTACTCCCCAACACACACACACACCATGAATGTTTATCTTCTGTGGTGGAAGACATCCTCAATGTAGGTTTCCAGGTATCCTTTGGAGAAAGGCCAACTAAACATGAGCTCACAATAAGAGATAAAAGAAAACAAACCACCATATTACAGAACCTGCAGACACAGCAAACAGTAAACTTAAACTCCCAAGAATTTCAGATATTAGAATTAATAAAGAATATAGAATCATTATGATTTTTTCTAATGTGAAATTTGGCAAGCATAGTGTCTGTACTAATCCCAGCACTTTGGAAGGCTGAGACAGGAAGATCACTTGAGGGCAAGAGTTCAAGACTAGCCTGAGCAACATAGACCTTGTCTCTATTTAAAAAATAAAAACAACTAAAACTATGAAATCATTTAAAAAGCAAGTAATAAGGGATTTAAAAATGAGTAGACAAATATATGAAGTAACTGAATAGAATTTTTATAAATAAAAAATATATTTGTTAAACCAAAAACTCAGTGGATGGATTAAAAAGCAGAGTCAACACAGCTGAAAAGTCCAGTGAAATGAAGGTAGACTGAAAGAATTTTCCCAGAACACAAGAGAGAGAAACAAAGAGAGGAAAATATGAAAGAAACATTAAACAATATGAAAGGATAAGAAGATCCCACACATATCTAATGGGAGCCTCAGAAGGAAAGAGCATAAAGAACAGGCATTATCTAAAAAGAAAAAGGCTCAGAATTTTCCAGAACTAATGAAATAAATGAATCCACAAATAGAGAAAAAAAAATTGAAGAAATTCCACAGTTAGGCACCTCACAGTGAAAGTGCAGTTATACCAGGTTAAGAGATGACCTTAAAAGCAGACAGAGAAAAAAGTACTTTCAAAATATCATCCTTTCAAGAACCAAGGAAAGATAAGACATTACAGGCAAACAAAAATGTAAATGTTTACTACCATCAGATCTATATACAATAAAGAAACTTCTAAAGGATATACTCTGGAGAGAAGGAAAATCATCACAGACGGAAAACTGATAAACATGAGGTAAATTTAAGCAAATGTTATCTATAGCAAATAATTATAATGGCTTTTAATTTATAATATTTAAAGGAAGAACTAAAATATTAGAAAATTATCATTTAAGTTGGAACAGGACAGAGTTAGGTGTTCCAAGATTCTTCCACTGTTCTAAAGAGGGTTTAAGATATCATAGTTTTGTACTGTCAACTGCTGGAACTGCACTTGCAAGAATTCCTTTTCTTAAATGGTTCCCATTTGGCCACATGAGAAATCTGCATGATATTTGGAAGGCATAAATGAAAGAATAGCCATTTTTACCCTCTGAAGATTGATGTGGTGTACCAAGCACTGTGGCAGCTTATGCACAACGTTGCTGATTTAGTAGTTCACCTTAGTGCCATAGGTGACTACACCTTAGTGCCATTTGACTACAACTCCTAGCTCCCACTAGATCTCCTTCAGCCTCTCTGGTTCCAACCTCTCTGGCCAGGTGTGTGTACAACTCCATGGCAAAGGGCATCAACTTGTCCTGAAGGCCATCCATATCATCAATGTTGTAGGCAATGAGACAGATATAGGTTTGACTTTGTCCTCCTCATGGGTTCCAGTTTGTCCTTGCTCTTCCCCACTTCATGTCCAGTTCTTCCTGATCCCAGCCACTTACTTCATGCTCAACAATAAATGTAAAGGCAACAGCCTTGCAGAGTTGTTAACTAGTATCCACAATTGTGTAAAGTCTCATTTTTAAAGTAAATCCTTTATGCTATATCACTCAAAGTGGTTTATCTTATCCAAATTTTATTGATACAGATATAATAAAAAACTGACTAAGCAAAAAGTAACAGACAAAAGAGATTTTCAGATTAAACACACACACACACACACACACACACACACACACACACACTTTAGATGGATCCCTTCATAAATAACAAAGTTTCAATTCACCAGGAAGATATAATTACAAACTTATATTGGCCTTATAGATTAGTAGAAGGACCTGTAATTCTAGCACTTTGGGAGACCAAGGTAGGAGGATCGTTTGAGCCCAGGAGTTTAGGAACAGCCTGGACAACATAGCAAGACACCATCTCTACCAAAAAAAAAAAAAAGCTAAAAATTATCTGGGTGTGGTGGTGTGTGCCTGTAGTCAGGAAGCTGAGACGGGAAGATGGCTTGAGCTCAGGAGTTTGAGGCT